TGCACTTGACTACAGTCGAACGATTGTTGCACTTTTTCGTGATATTGAGCCGTTTCCCGGACCTCCCACATGTGAATATTTATACAAAAGCTACCTGAACTAACGTGCTTTCAAGCGAAAGCCAACCAATACAGTAAACACCAGCTACCCAAAGCAAAAAACAAGAAAACAAAAAAGCAAGACAAAAACAGCACGGGGAAAAAAGGAAGAACGAAGCTAAAACCGAGTAAACCAAACCAAATCAAACCAAAACCGCCATCCACAGCCCCCGGGCCTCAGGGCGCCCACGCACGCGGCACCGCCATAGTCCGCCTCCTGTAGCACCCGGCGCCTCGGTCCCCAAAACCAAAGCGGCTGGGGTGGGGTGGGTGAGGCGAAAAACATAGGGGAACCGAACCCAGTTTTAGGGGTCCCCATATTTTAAGACACCTCCATATGGGGTTGATTTTGGATGGGTCCTCTATTTAGTTTAAGACGCATCCATATGGGTGTATTTTTTTGATAGGGGACTCTTGGGGGGACATCATTTAGGTGGAAGATTCGTGCCCAGCAAACATCCTACTCGGGGGTGCCACCCACCAAAGTGATGGATTGTAGTGACTGCATTGCAGGACGACACCAAGCAACACACCAATCATAAAAAAGCGCACGACGCTATGGAAGAAAAGCAGCGAAAACGCTCTGGCACATTCCATCCGTCCCAAGCAGCTGAATCCATAATCTCGTTTTGTGGCAAAATAGAGAACTGCTCATGTGCGATCCGTCCTCCAATTAAAAACACAGATCAAGGATTGGCGTTGAACAGGTCAAGTCTAAAGCTGGGACCGCGACCTGTGGATTTTCCACGGGAAAAAGGAACTGACACCGCGTTTGTTGGCCGTTGACTTGTTCAGGCGGCTGACCTAAAGAAACATGAGAGAAAAGGACATGCCGCCATCAAACGGGTTCATATGGTCGATTCTTCAGCGGGGTTTACCCTGAAAAAGGGAAATGCCAACCACTGAAGGTCCTACTTTTGGTTTCTAGCTGAAACCAGTATGGGTATGCGCCAAAGCAGGATCCAAAATGAGAAGGGTCTCCTTTCGGTCCCCCTTTAAACCGACCCCAAAAGGGATACCCTCAAAAAACAAACACACACACACACAAAAATACATTCAACTTAGTTCAAACAACCTGCTATTTGGAGATCCTCCCCTTCAAGGCTGGCCTCTATTAAAGCCAACTTTGGAACCAACCCACGCTGGGAGCAGCGCAGGGCTGCTTTGACCCCTCCGTCGCAAGTGGCGCTGCAGCGTGTCCTCGAGTTGTCACCGCGAGCGTCGGTTCGACCCTCGACTCGAGCCCTAACGCGGGAAAACACCTGTGAAAGTCCAGGTCGGTTGCTCAACCTGCTTCAAGAACCAGACCCGATTCAGCCAATCGGTCCGATTTACACACCAAATCGGTAGCTTCAAACAAGCTAGATGGCCCTCCAAGAAACCTGGTTTCCCTTGGCTTCCTTAAACCCAACCAAACCGCTTGGCTCCCCGCAAAAATAAAAAGACACCCCCACATAGGCCCACAAAACCCCTTGAGCCCGTGGATTGCTTTGAGTCATCTTTGGCGTTGGTTTGCGCATCAAAAACCTGGCAAGTAAGGCAAGGTGGTCGGCTTTTTGCAACCCGCTGTATGGTAGCAATAACCTTTTCTTTTTGCCTATTTTCCTTCTTCTTCCAAAACCATTTCCAGTGGATCCATTTACCTGCATCGTAGGCAGCCAAGGCAATGCTAAGAAGGACATGTTAGAGGGTTACCTGCCGCAGGGATAACTTGGCCCAACTCTGAAAACTGGATTCAGCTTGCGCTTCATCTGGAGTGCACCCTGAACTGCAAGAACCAGCTTGGAGTTTCTACCAATTGCTTCCCAAAATTTGGGATACCAGGTGGCACAACCGCCAACAAGAGCATGGAACCTCCCATGGGATCCGGGTTTGGAACTCTGCCCCCCAAAGGCCCCCAAGGAGCGTCGGCCCATCGCCAGTCTGAGCCCGGCACCATTCGCCCCACTCGCTGAGCCTGGCCAGTCCGAACGTGAGGCGGTCGAGGCCAGATGTGGGCAAGCCCCTATGATCGGTTTCATGTTGGTTTCCCAACTACTCCTTGCCACTAGAGTTGTGTATGTAGGGTAGGATTGCCATACCTGAAGATCACCCATCTTTCAAACACATGGACATCATGTTGGCACAGGCCCATTTCCATACCCCTTGGCTGGCCCACTCCCCAAGAGGGGTATAATTATGTGGTATAAAGTGGGATGAACCAGTCGGGTATGCAAGGAGTACCTCCCCTCTTCGAGTGTGGAACATGGGCCTCTAGGGGCAGTTCACCCACGAGTGAATTTAACCCTTCCCTTTCCGAGCAGATTCCTAAGCTTCTTGAAGTCTGTGAGCAACCGCTGATCAAATTCGTTGCTATGAAAGGCGGCTCACTGAACCACTGTAAGTGGCTTCATCAAAAACACCAGTCCCAAGCACATGTGGTCCACTTGTTGCTGGCAGGTTGTTGGAAAGCTGCATCATTCTCCGACACAACGGACCTGCCCCTGTGGGACCTGGGAATCAATGATTGCCTTTTGAGACCGGAAACCCACAATAAACAGGTTAAAGGCGGAGAGGTTACTGTAAAGGCCGATTTGCTTTGGACAACTGAGAAACCCACGTTCACGTGCACGTGCCTGCAATCTTTTGGCTTCTCGGTAAGCCCACAGGGCTCCGTCCTTTGTGCGCGGCCGAGCCCAATGGGGGGGGGGAGGAGTGTAAGGGCCTGTTATTCTAAAACTGACTCATAAAGACTTTGTTTGGCCGCACTCACGAGAGGGGGAGGTCGTCCAATGTCAGTGCGTGGAGCAAAGCATATTTTGGTTCTTAGGATATCAACCAGGCGTGGGCGTGGCAACAGTTGACCATGTTTCGTGGCACCTCTCTGGGCTGGATACTGTTGGACGCCCATGAAGGCGTGGCTTGTAGCCAGTGTCATTGTCTAAACCCTCCTTTGAGACTCTAGAGGGTGTTGGGAGGGCCTTGTCCGAAGCAGAACCCAAACGCTGTGCTGGAACAAAAGGCCTGCCAATGACTTTTGTCATCCTTGGATTAAAATCCCTGGCGGATTACTGGAAAGTCCCCCCTCAAAAGTGAAGGGTTCGGTCTTACTGTAAATGGGGCACCCTCCCTTTCAATTAGCTAGGGGTTGACTGCTCCACGGTTAACGTGAATTCTGCGCTTAAAGGGAGGTAATGTTTACTATCGCAGCGGTGTGAATCAATTCCTCCTTCCCCTCAGCACCCCCTAAGCATCTGGAATTTACACGCTTCGCCAATCTAAAATGAGGGCTCCATAAGAAAGGAGCCGAACAAGGTTCCCTAACTATATTTCCACGTTAAAGCTCCCCCGAAGCCCCGCAAAGGAAGTACATTGTGTGATACAAGTGTACGTTGGTCTGCTCGATTGGCCCACGCTTGAGGCTCGAGGAGGTGAACGAAAGCTAGCAGCTGTCGGAAACAGAGTGGATACCACAGGCTTGCGCACCAGAGGCGCTGGTTTTGGATTCTCAGTACACGCAAACTGACATGGCCGGCAAACCGATCAAAACGAAAATCACGAGAGGAGTCTCAAGCCGTCGTAAGATGTATCACGGCCCTGAAAAGAGAGTGGCGCATGAGACCTTCCAGTTGAGCCTATGCACACGGCGATGCTGGTCGTGTATCCGGGCCAACGGGTTGACCAACCTGCATTGGGGAACCAGAGATCGGATTCACATATACCTATATATATAGTAATATTATATATATGTATGTATGTGTATATATATATATATAGTATAATATATATATATATGTGTAAATCATGTGTGCCGATTTGAAGCAATTCTGAGCACAAGGGGGTTGATTCGCCTTGGAATTCACAGGTTGACCTTTCGGGGCCATGACTAAAAATGGACCAAACATGGGAAACTGAAACTTGAAAGGCACCAAAGGTCACTTCGCTTTGGGCAAGTGAGCAGATCCTATCCCTTGCGATCGTCCAGGAGCCGAGCATGTTGAAGGTACCGGAGCATGCAGTTCCGCTACCCATCGCCTCAAAGGCGTACGGAATTGGCTTCCCGGCTTCCCCTTCAACGAAGAGGCAAAGGGCAACTTTAAAAGAAGAATACCCGGATACCTAAAGAACACCAGCCATGTGTGGAGGTTCCACTTCTGGCTGTTGCTGGGAAACTTTGGATCCTCCCATTCTCCTCATTCTCCTCATTCTCCTCATTTGCTTGTTGGTTTGTGGTAAAAACTAAAATGAGGCCAAAATGGCCACCCATTTCCTTATGTGCGATCCATGCCTGAATGCCGGCCAGCTTTCGATAGTCCCCTAACGCGGATTCTGGCGGCAGTGTTGTCGGGCATTCACATGAGCCGTGGACAAGATTACTTGTTTCCCCCAGAAAGGGCATCGGACAAAGTGGGTGGGCCTTTTAGTGTTTGTTGGACATTTGGATGGGCCCGACTTCCACAGCAAACTAACTGCCAGAAGTCCGTCAAGGTCTTTCCCTGGTGACTCGACTGAAAACCGCCCTGCAAAAAAGAGGGGGACCCTGGGTGAGAAACGGAAAGCAAATGTTCGAGCGCGGGTTCCGGTACGTCCAACAAGCACTTCCGCCGGTAGGTGATTGTTGAGCCCAAATGTACCCTTTCATGGACCTTTTGTTTGTATCCAGGGTTGCTTTGAGGACCCAGTGTAGAAACTGTCCTAAGAAAACTAAAGGACAATCATATCTCACCCATGCTCGCGGTGCAGAAGCAACACCCTGCTTTTCTGAAGGGAAATACGGGTGTGTCTTTCTTAGCTGATTCTCCAAAATGGTAGGTCCCGTGAAGAGCACAACAAAGGACACACCCAATATCGGTGAAGAGGATGGGGGACTCAACTCTCAGAACTGCAATCTCCCTGGCACCTGCTTCACGATCTTGCGATACTTCACCTTCTGAGCCTTGCGGTCCTCGCTCGAGTTGGGCAACGAACATGAGCAGCGCCCAAAATATATCGACGTTTACAATCCCCCAGACTAACATGGAAGCTCCCTGGACCCCTTTGGAAGGCTTGGTTCCATTTACAGAGGCCTTCTGGGAGCTTCCGTGTTAGTCTGATGGAGTGTAGTTCAACCAACATGGTCCCTATTCAACCCAGGCTGTGATCCTTATTCAACCCAGGCAGTGGAACCACCAACACAATCGGCAAATAGGGAGGGTTGGGCACTGCTCGAAACTGCGGGCCCCACTAGAACTGGCGCTGAGCACTTGCCTTTGAAGCCCATGAGTGCTACCAAGGGGACCCCTAAAACTGGTTGGTTTCCTTTGGCCTTCCTTTCAACATGCACGTCTTGGCAAACCGGAGCAAATGTCTTAACCTCAGTTTGCAGTTCTAGCCATAACTTTGTAAAAACAGGTTGAGCCCTCTGGAAATCTGCTAGAAGACAATGGGTGAAGAAAATGAAGAGTCAACCCGTAGAATGGTCGCGATTCACTGTGTCGCACACCATTGACTAGTGGCACTTTTCGGATAACTAGGATCTGTATCTCTAATACTCTGTATCTTACATGCAGTTTCTCTTGGCTACCATACGGGGCAACACAAGGGCCTAAACGATTAAACACATGGATATAACAACTATCATTGTGGAAATGATAGTCTATTGGGTGGGGTAATTTAAAGTCATGCTTATCGGGCTTAATTATCAATATAGTAGTAATCATGTTGCCCCTTATATTAACCCTGGGTGTCCGCCTAATCGCGAGCGAACTCCACAAACCCCATAGGGGCTGTGGCCCTCCCCTGATGTACTATGTGTGGCCCTCCAAGCACATCCTTGGATGCCCAATCAACCTAGCAAGTAGGTCACTATAGTGAAAGGGGAGCGAACCCCGGCTGGCCCAGCTACAACCATGACTCACCATAACCTACTGCTAAGTTGGTGGGACATCCAAGGCTGCCAGCCCAAATCAAGAACCTGTTCGATTGTCCAGAAGTTGTGCACCATTTTGAGAAACTCCCATGTTAACTGTCTACTGGGCTCGGTTGCTTTCTGCTCCCCTGCTAAATGTGTTTAACTTTTAGTGGTTTAATGGAACACCCATTCGTTGGCCAAAAGGCTAAAATCCTAACATCCCTTGGCAACATGCACCAAAGGTTCTTAGGGCTCCCCCACCAGTTGGATGGTTGAAAGGAGGTAATCCCCCGATTTCCTGCTGAGCACCAGCAAGATTTGGCTGTGGCTCAAAAAATGGAACTCCCAAAATGGTCCGACGGAGTTCTCAACCCCGGGGGGGGCCGATCCCGTTCAAATCTCCTCGCCGCAGACCTCGCAGCCGCAGTGGCTCCAGTCGGACCAAGGGCTCCACTCGCAGTTCTAGCGCCGGGTCAACGGAGCGTCAACGGAACGACTCATCGAATGCGAAGGGTGCTAGGGGCGTACCCTCAAATACTGGTCCACAAAAAAAGGGCTAGTCCAAAACTAACAGGTTTTGAGTCTGTTTCATATTTAGCGTTAACATCTAAAACAGTTTGGGTGGAAACCCCAGTTAAGGTCGTACCCCGAAATGCACGCCGAACCAAAACACCTGCTTAGCCCTGCAAGACTAACTCTACAAGACCATGACTTTTTGACTGGTACGACCCGCTCCCACCAGATATATGAGCATGGGTCAAAATCAAACAACCAGGGGACCGCAGGTTTTGGTCCATACTTCCACTTACCAGGATTCCATTTTGGGTGCAGCTCATATGTTTTACACACAGCCATATCCAAACCTGTCTTTGCTTCATGTTGGGTTGATGGCTTGGCCTCGCTCACAGGGCCCAATCCTCCCGTCTATCTTAAGAAGCACTGGCAAATCAGAGGAAAATGACTGAACAACCACAGAAGCCACCGGGAAACAATGAACAACCACTGGGAACCCACTTAGACATCACTAAAGAGACTGGAAAATGACTGAACCAAAGGAAACACAGTCACAGGGACCACTAGTGCCACTAGCCACCAACGAGCGGCTGTAGGCTGAAGGCTGTGGCCTGATCCCCCTGAAGGCAGTCATCATCGAAGAACTGGTCCATCTGCCTGGTCTCCTCCTGCAAAACTTGCGAGCTGAGCTCACCACCAGCCCCTTGCCAAGAATTACTCGACACGGGATTGTCCCTCCAGCCTGACAGTCAACAATCGTGGAAATGGACAGCGTCGAAATGGGTTCAGCTTCAGGAAGCAAAGTCTGATAATGAGCAACACCAAGGAGAAAAAACAACATCTCGAGCCCCAGCCACCAAAGGTATGGTTGGATGAACATCCAAGCACCATATTTTCATGTGAGCCCTGTCTAGACAAGCCGGCTGCGCAAAGCTGCAAAACTGCAATCATTCCGGCGAGCTCACAAATCTGAGGATGAAGATCCCTTATTTGTGGACTTTGCGATTCGGGTTGGTGACTAGCAACGGAGGCTTCAGACTTGGAGCCATTCGTGGTATACCTTGAGGGCCTCAGTAGATGTTCCCCGAAAGTGATCCGGATCCTTAAACAAATGGGGCATTGTCCAGCCAACTTTCTCCCGGCTGAATCCGGGGTCAACCTGCGATGCTGACTCGCTGACCCAGCAAACACCCTCGAGTTATTCCTCGGGCTGGCCCGATACAAAAACCACCGGGTTTTGGGTTTGGGGTTGGCAGGTGAAACCTACCCATCCGTGCCCTGAAGATCCTGGTTTCCAAAGCCGGCGCCAATTCTTGCCCATCGGACAGGACCAAATCGAGAAGAACAACATCTGGATGAGAGCGTTGGAAGAGAATGGGGAGATCCATTCTAGAATCTGGGTTGTCCAACTGACAGGTTGGCATCAGCCTGATCCATAAGCCCTGTTGGCAAGTTGAAAATTCCTTTCGCAGCAACTCTTGGAAATATAGGGTTTCTGCCCAACACTGGTGTCCTTGAACGTACAAAACCAAGAAGCAAAACAAACTTGGGGGACGACAGGCATAGACTGGCAAAGACCAAAACAGGAATCGGTGTGCTTGGGGTAGCAGTCTACTACTGTCCCCTTAGATGGTGTTTACTCCGTTCTAGCTAGGTATGGTTCGCTTCAAACAATTGGCCGACCCGCTGTGAAGATGGCTGGAGTTCAACGAGAACAACCGAAGAGCACCAGGCAATCCTTGAGACCCCAGATGGAAGCTCCCAGGAACCCTTTGAAAGTTTCGGCTCCATTTACGGAGGCCTTCTGGGAGCTTCCACGTTAGTCTGAGGAATGCGTAAGTTACCACACGGGAATCAACTCTGAGAGTTGTCAAGCCACCAACTTTGTGAGTCACTCAACTGTCCTTGACACCGCTGCACGGCCTGCCACCCGTCTCGTGGTGCCTGCGCGAAAAAGCGAAACCCTCCACCCCAGGGTCGTGGCCTTTGGGAACCAATTCTGGTGGTTGAAACAAAGGAACGTGGAGAATCCACTTCCCAACTCGGCTCAGTGAACCTACGGCAACCCTCGGGGAAAAGACCTACAGAGATTGCCAGTGGGCTGCAAACGGGTCTGATTCAAAGGTTCAAAAGCCGGAGGGACCGGGGAACCCGCGCCCCAAACCGGGCGCTGTTCCACGGGCCCGTTGTACTCAACGGGCACTTCCCCTTTTTGGGCCCTAAAGCGCCCTTCCTCCATGAAGCCCTGGCTGGTTGATGGGGGGTGCCCACCCTGTGCAGATCCCTCACGTTTCAGGGGAAGCAGGTTTGTTCATCCAAGGTCCACATTGAAGGGACCACATTGAAGGGACGTGGTCTTGAAAAAGTGGTCTGTCTGTCCTCACCAGCATGTCTTTTTTAGCAGAAAGCTTTCGAGGAGAGGAAGTGATGTGATTCCTCGCGGATGTGGGGTACAACCCCCGGCCTGCACCACGGGCAAATACGACATTGGCCCGCGATTCACTAGAGCTTCGAGGACACAGCAACTGACATTCCGCGCAGTGCAAAGGATGGAACCCTTCCAAGCATAATTGGCATGTTAAAGGACTATTTCCAGAAACACTCTTCTTGGCTTCTTTTCACAAACAAAACGCTCTAGTCATATTTCGGTCCCCCACCAGAAACCCTTCCTAACCCTTATAAGAGCCACTTCCTTTAGTTGCGCCCCTGTGCCAAATGACGAATTCTCCATAGGGGAGGTTCCCTCGTATCAGGGAAATGGAAGCCCCCAACCTGCGCCCCCCAGATTTGTCCTACAAAACGGCACACCCATAGGTGCCCTTTTTGGGGCAAATAGATGGCCCTGGTAGATGATTAAACCACCAGGTAAACCAGGGCCAGCTGTTTGTCCACCAAAACAACCGAAAAGGACACGTATGGGCACACCCGTTTTGTGGGCGACCGGCGCCCCGTCGAGCCCACTGCCGCCTGGCGATCTTCCTCTCGCGAACGCCCAGGCCGGAGCAACCTGCGAGCTCGACAAACGCGGGGGGGGGGGGGGGGGGGAAACGGGGGGATTAAAAAAAGAATAGAATGCATCATGTGACCCTTTTTTTTGCACTCCCCCTGTTTTCCTCATAGTAAAGCGGACTGAAAAGGAACCAAAACAGAAATGAATGGAAATAATAAAAAAGAATGTATGAAACTAATATGAGAAGGAAACGAAACAGAAACAAAAGACACAGAGAAGAAAATGACGAGAAATGAACAGGACATGGAAAGGGCGTGAACATGAGATGCAAAGGAAATGAAGGGAAATGAAAAGAGATGAAGCGTGTATCATTATTTTCATCAGAGTTCAGTCTTCCCGTCCTCTTCCCGGAGGCCTTCGTTGGTTGTCGCTTGTTTTGTGCATGTTTGCCATTGCCAATTGTGGCCAAAAGGAAAACATGAGCATCTGAAAACTCAAAGATCGCGATTGTTACAAATGGCTCATTCTTGAATTCTGGCCAAAAGCAAACATGAAAAACTGAAATTCCGAGACCGCATGTTCTGCTTCACTTCTTTCAACTTGTTCAATTCTGGCCATCATCCTCGGCAGCAGCATCATGGACCTCATCATCTTCATCTTCGTTGTGATCGTCATCGTCATCGTCGTCGTCATCCTCATCACCATCACCACCACCACCACCACCATCACCATCACCGTCATCATACTCATCATCATCATCGTCATCGTCATCATCATCGTCATCGTCATCATCATCATCATCATCAAGGATCAATCAGACATTGACATTACAAGGAGCTCGGTCGCATTGTGCGCATTATTCTCTGCCATTGGGGGAGGGACCTAACTTCCTAACTTTGATACACACCTAACTGCCTGTCAATTTCATGGAGCAAACCTGGTATCAACATTGTGTACCTAAAGCCATGCACATTCTTCTTCAAGGGCGATGCTGGGGGGGGGGGGGGGCGACAGATTTGGAGTACGCCTGGCCTCTGCCCCAGCAAAAGGCAGTACAAGCAGAAAACCGGTGGGTCCCTGGGAACTGTCAGTCCAACGGGCTCCAGTACTTCGTCTTGCCACAGTTGACCAGGTTCAGCTCGGGGCACCGATTTTCTAGCCCCCCCCGCCCACTCTCAATGCACCCATTGTATCTGCTGGCGTTTTTTCGGGCCGAACGCAAGGAATCCGTCTAAGTCTAGGTCTAGAGGGTCGATTTGGGCCCTTTGGGCTTGCTCATGAGGCAAACCCCCAGCCCCAAAGACCCTTCGACCTGTAGACTTCATTCCCTAAGTTGTTTTGAGCAATACTACTTGGGTGCCTGTTGTTCCCTACTTGCAATATTTAGGGCGTGGGTTAAAAGTGATGATTCACCGGCCGAATGATTTTGAAACCGCTGTGGAAGGAAGCCTTCTTTTGCAAAGCCCTCTGGCAAGCAAATGCTCAAACGTTTGGATGGGTTGGATGGTTTGGATCTGCAGTTTGTACAACAGTTCCAACCCCCTAAAACTAGAACCAACAACAAGAATTGGATCCTCAAGCAATAGGCTTCCATCATGGTGATCTCGTTTCTACCCTCGAATCGGTGAGCTTGCCATAAAATAAGCACATGGCTGAACAACTGTGGGTGCCTGTTTGCCCCTCCAAAACAATACAAAAAAGGTTCCCTCAACAAAAACACAGACTTGGTAGCAGAAAGACCCCCCCTGCTGAAATGGCCAACGGACTCTTGCATGTTCCAAGGGTCAACCAGGCTCAGGCCTGATAACCTCACCATGGACAAACAAAAGTTAAAAAAAAAAAAAAAAAAAACAAGTGACACGGCAAGTGTCTGAAACCTTAATGTCAGTTCATTTTCCCAGACCTATGGCCATGGGGGACAATCGCACCCTTTGGTTAGACTTGTAAGAAAGCAACACTTGAAGGTGGCGTGGCCCTTCTCATGACCCGATCGGATCCGCGGCTTCCGCCTCCGAAAGATTTCCAGGGACCCCACTCCTTGGTGAACGCACGAGTCATTTGGGTGTGCGTGTTGTTTGAGGGTACCCTTCTCGGAGTTCCTGAGTGGGGTGGCCAGAAAAAGCCCGAACTTCATGTTAACCAGATCACCACTAAAATTGCTTCCAATAAAGTATACAGCCCATAATCTCAGAGTGAGTCGATTTTGACATGATTTATGGCGTCTTGTGAACCGCGCAAAAGAAGTGCAACCCGGCTTGGTCACGGGGAACTCGCCGTTTCTGGGGAGTAGGAGGAACAATCAGAAGAGAGATTCGTTTTGGGCCTGAATCAGCCCCAAAAAGGTATCCGAACCCTACCCAATTGATCAGGTTGCTTACCCTGTGCATCAAAAGCGCGGATAAAACTTGAGGTTCTGGCAAATCACCTGCAGACAGATCCTCTTTTGCGGTGGGTTTTGCTGTGGATACAAACCTGTCCTGGGGCTGGGCTTTGGGTCACCCTGGAACTGGGCAAGTGACATCGAACGTGAGGGCATTTCAAGGGAAGCAACCGGGAACTCAGCAACTAACGCTTAATGGATATGTAATAGATCCAGAATAACTTCCCCCAAACAGAAACAACTAGGTGCCTTATTTTGTAAGCCTTCAATCCATGTTCTCTTAGTTTTGAGTCAGCTGGGTCCCCATGAAACCAGGCAAGCCAACAGGCACAGCCGGAACTCCACACCGAGGCCGTGACGCTCCACTGGCAGTTGATGATCTGGTGTTCGTCCCCGCAGCTCTGCTGCCTGTCAGCCGGGGGAGGGGGGGCAAGGGGGGGTGGGCCCAAAAAGGCATTCCTGACCCGTCTAGATTTAAGGGGTACCCTTTCAGGATTGTTTGTTGGTGGGTTAACCAACGTCAGGTTAGTAGGTCATAACCATGGTTGTAGTTGGGGTTAGCCATGGTTATGACCTACCCACGACACTGGTGGTGACCTGTCCGGGATGAAAATCATGTTTGTTATGGCCACCATGCATCGGCTTGCCTCCAGTTTGGAGTGTGTTTTGGTGCGGAACCCTGGAAACCCTAAAGAACCAGAGGTTCACATTGCCAGGCCCCAAAACTTCACCACTATGAAAGTCACCCAGTGGTAGTTTAATGCTAGAACGTGAGTAGTGCACCCCCTCTGATTGAAAACGAACGGTTTTCCCAGCCGACTGGCAGCCTGTGCTACTTTCAAGGCCCACCCCTTCCAGAACCCCCTCTGATTGAAGACACGACCCTTTGTGGCCCAAAGTTCCAAAAACATACTAGACACACATTTTATACATTACCCGAGGGAGCTTTAGGGCACCCTCCAAAATCCATTTTTCAAGCCTTGTCAACCTGGGGGTGGTTCACTAATCAAGTTCCACCATTTAAGGGAAGCTGATAACCCCCCCCATCAAATACTATGCTGATAGCCCCTCCCCCAGTTTCTGACTTTAACCCCCAGAAACAGAGAAAATAGTAACTCCCAGCCACCGATGCGATGTTGGCTTCCATTGGACGGTGCCGAGGCCGCCACTTGCAAAGCGCCCACTGCTCCTGTGCCGCATGCAAAGGGGATGCGCTCAGAGAGGCTTGTGTCCCAGTCTTGGACAATCAAACTAGTTGATTTCGCTTTGATTTCCCCTTGAACCACCCCTCAAAAGGGTACCCTCAAAAACCAAGACCCAGATGCAATTCTGTTGTGGTTGTAACACTCAACAAAAAGTCCCCAGCCTTATCCCTGGTCTAGTAGCAGGTCATAACCATGGCAACTGGGTCGCTGGCAACCATGTTGTAATTCAGTAGGATACAGAATGGCTTCTCTGGGGTAGAGCTTAGTCCCCCTTAGGTTTAGAACCGACGTGGCTTGAACACCCAAGTAGTACGGCCTTAGGGGGAGTTCCCCCAAAGCTTGCCGAGGCCTGAGTCATCCGCTTTCCCATGCACAAGGTCCACCCAGAACCGGTGTGGCATCAGGTTCCAGATTAGGCAAACACCTTCTTTCTGTTTGGCTTTGTCAACTGTCGGGTTAGCAGGTGGTTTTCTCTGACTGGTTGGTTTACGCAGGGACCCCGGCTGCCCCCAGGGGGTCTGGGGGTGTTTTACTCTCGGGCAAAGAACCTGCCTCTCGCAATGGAACTTGAGATGCGTCTCCTTTTAAAGGCAACCACCATTTTGGGGGGAGTTTGGAGTACGTGCTGGGAACTTCCCGGAACCCCGAGATGTTGGCTTTCCATCTTAAATCGGCCCTTCCTTTCTGATCAGCCCTCACGCACTTCCACTTCCAGCGCCGCAAGTCGAATCGCTCCAACCGCCGGGGTCTGAATCGGAGCCCTCAGACGGATGGCTACAAGCGAAAACGGCCCTGTTTTCTTGCGGATTTGCGAGGGAACCCCGAACCAAAAGACAAAGCCCAAGGAAACATCAACCAGCCACCCCGCACTTTGCGCAACCCTCCCGGACCCCTCGAACGTCCACCGCTCCGAGCTACGGCAGACGGCCCCTGGGCGAAAACCCTTCCCCCATCAGCTGTCGGTCGATCGCTTCCTCATAGCCGTGGCACGTTGCGAGGGGAGTGCCCTCCGGCAAGTATGTCTCCACCTGAAAATGGATCGTGGTCATCGTGGGGGGTGCTTTGGTGGTCGGTTAGTTGGGTCTGGGTTGGGTTGGGTTGGTTTGGCGTGGGTTGGGCTGGGCTGGTTGAAGCCTGGTGGTTTGCTGAGTTGGTACCCTTTTGGTTGCAAGGGTAAACAAAGGCAAGACTGCACGGATCGCCAGTAGCTTGTTCCCAAGCTGTCTTAGAACTTGGCCGGTTGTGAGAAATAACCCGTTCGCTCTGTGGTACCCAAACGGGCCATCCCCACTACTTATAAGTTTAAAGGGGACCCCCTCCTCTTGGTAACCTGGAAGCGAACCTGGAAAAGCTCGCCAGCCTGACGGATGGAACGTACGGAAATAGAACCCTCGGTTTCTGCCACACAGTTTGCTGGCTCAGCGGGGAAACTTCTGGTTTCCGGTCGGGAAACCGGGAAATGAGCCAGATCTTGGGGAAGCGGGGCAGCCCGGTGTCAGCTTTGACTCGGTTCGGTGTGGATGGGCTTGGGTTGAAGATTGGAATTGAATAAACCAACGAGGCGTACGGCGAAAGTCTATCGGATTCACCACCGGCCTCCTTGAGGGTTTTGGTGCTGCAAGGCAGCAACTTGTGTCTATGGAAGGGGCATGCACAGCGAAACCCCCGCAACTTGGGACATGGAGCCCTTCAAAGGTCGGCGTTGAATGGGGCCGACCCATTTGAGGGGTTGCCAAGAGATAGACACTCTCATCCCAAAGAAAGATCTCGATCCCCTTCTTAAAGGGCCCAGAGGCTAAAGAATCATGAGCGACCTCAGGTCTACGTTTTACCACTAGGGGTCGGCTAAAGTGATGGGGGCCTCGGGGCAAAAGGTTTGAGCCAGTGACGCAATCTCGCTTCATATCTCTACACTTACCACAGGGATGGCCTCCTTTGCCAGTCCCATTCCACCCTGTCAGGTGGAAGCTCGGCCCAGGCCACCAAAAGGATCCACCGATTACTTCACACCAGGTGTATTTCTCCAAATGGACTCCCAATGAGTTGATCCCTGATGTCCCAACTCTCAAAGGCCCGAAATGAGAGCCCCGTGGTTTGGCCATAGGCTCGGCTTTTCAGGTTCAAAAGCAAGCAGATTGCAGCCATGGCCATCATATGCCGTGGCACCAATCCCAACTTGCCTTTGTTAATGATAACCCCGTGGGAACCTGCTACGCTGGTTACTGGTTGAACACCCAAGTAGAAAGATCCTCTAGAAGGTTCCACCAGTGGGATGTTTCGGGGTCATTCCAACTCGTTGCCTATCGAACCAGCAAGCTCGGCACAGAAGCAAACTCCCTCTCCTCACTTCGTGAGGAACTGGCCCAACAAAAACTAAGCACTTTTTTGCCCTGTACTACCAAGCTGGTCTTCCAAGTATAAAAGTCCACTACTTTGGTGCTCAAGCTACTCAGCTAGGGCTGAGTTCCGGACCGTGAATGAAGGGGCCGGAGGCTGCGGGAGCTCGTTGGGCACTTGCGTGGTGGCCGGCTCCTCGACTCTAATGGGGGGGATGTAGATTTCAACAGTCTGAGGGGGAAGAAAAAAACGAGAAGCTGGGAAGGGGCCGGGATTGAATAAGTTTGCATCGGATGTATGCAACAAGAAATACAGTTTGTCCCAGGTAGGTCCCCCCTCCCCCATGGTCATGGTAAACCTCCCCCCGGCCTCTTGGTTACGGGTTTGTTGCTGTGGGTTGGTGAGAGTGGGGAAACAGTGATGTTCCAAAATAAAGATATGAAAAAGTTTAAAGAGCAACCGAGTACAATCCTCCATTGGAGAAAGGGACCTCTCTTAGAAGGCTGACCTCAAAAAGACCCCCTTTGAGTTTAAAATCCAATCCTTCGAAACGATGTATGGTACCACCAAAGGGAGCTCAACAATATCCAAGCCAGCAAACTCCATAGATCAGATATCTTGGTGGATCAAATAGCTCAGAAGATAGAACCTCCAGGGATCCCGGATTTGTCTTTGGTCTGCCCGTCTGTCCTTTACCCCCAGCCCAAAAAGGGTACCTCCAACTCCAGTCTACACCGAACAAACCCCCCCGGCCGCTCGTCTCCCTTCCTGCGGCTGCACAACTCCTGGCCTCTCCCACTCGATGGTCCTGGCGGATTTGCGGGAACCCATGGCACTCAGAATGGGCAGTGAGGCCAATGAAACCCAGGGCTTTCAATGGCGAAGTCTGTTCCTTAGGGAAATCCGAAGGAAGTTGATTGAAACAAGACTGGTTTCCCCTGGGGGTGGCCCCACCCTGGCTTACTCCAAAGATTTACGGAACCAACCCAACAGGAAGACCCCCTTTAAGCGTTTAAGGAGATTCCTCTTTAGAAAGCCTGTTTTTTAGGGAAGAGTGTGTTCAGCTGCCGGAGTTTCTCCATTTACATCAATGGCTTCCCCTCAATAGGGAATGAACAACTACTTCCTGCCTTGGTAGGTTCAAATAAACACCCTCTTCTTGAAGCTTCAAATCATGGGCACGACTAAAAAAGCAACATGAAAACACTTGCAAAGAACAGCTTAGACGACTTATGTGGAAAGGGGATGCGCGAATACGCAAGCATGATGGAATCTTAAGGTCACTCACTTACAGAGGAAACTGGAAACCCCTCCAGATTGCGGCCCAAGGCTTGTTCCCGAAAACAAACTCCGGGAGAATGGAGCAAGTTAGGGGATTCCTTGGATCATCCATTGTGAATCCTAAGAGGACATTACCCCTGTGTTTCTCGGTGTCCGTCTCCCGTGGCCCAAATGACAAACCCGCCTCTCTGTTGGGGAGTTCGAAACATTTCCCAAGTTACAATCGGCTTCTCTCTTGTGTTTTAGCCAATGGCCAAACTTAAAGAAACAGCCTCGTTTTTGCATTTCATTCTTAATTTGCTTTAAAAGGGAACCACTAACCAATCCCGAACGGATTATTGATAAGTGGGCATTGCGACTAGAAACATCCACGTCGTCAGTTTCCAGGAAATAGAGGTGTCACTGTACCCTCAAGACGAACCCTTTTGGCAGGGTTGCGGTAGGCCCGTTCATTTAGCGCAATGAAAACAACAGCACAGAACACACGACACAAAACTGCAAAGACAAAAGATGCGGACAATGCTGAACAACAGCAGCGGCAGCAGCCGGAAGGAACAACAACGACGACTACGACGACGACTGCGACGGCGAAAACGACAGGCAGCAACAAGAACAGTAAGAAGACAAACAACAAGAAAACAGGAACAATGACAACAACACTCAACACGGCAAACGAACACATCAGCCAAAAGCAACCCTAAAGAACCCTAAAGCTGAACAAACCGCAGCACGGGCGCAACGAAAACCTGAGCCAAGGCACTCCATGCCCGCCGGCAAGGGCCCTGCGGGTGCTGGCATCGGCGCGGGTGCCACGCCTGGCGAGGTCAATAGGTGCGTCTCAAGCGGGAAGCCTCCAACAGGTTGGCTCTTTGATTTCCCTTCAAATCAACCCCCAAACGGGTACCCTCAAGAAGGACGGCTCGTGGAATACCAATCAAATCAAACCCCACAAAAAGACCTCAAAAAGGGCATACCCACCCAAGGCAAGTGAGCAGGGCTGGGCTGAGCTGCTGCTGCTAAAGTATGGTGCCAGATTCATTGTTCTACAAGGCTCCTTTGAAGTATACATCCAGCTTTCCAAGGTGGATCCCTGCCCTTCCAAACTGTTGCTGCTTTCCCTGTACAAGCGACCGGAGTTTGATTTTCACGAAAATTGCGCCCAGGACTCGCGTGTCTGGTTGGCCCTGAAAGTTGGTTTCCTTTCCGAGGTTCAGAAAGAAACAAAAAACATGCCAAAGGTTGGTGTCCTTTCGGCTTCCGAAGCGGTGGTTTCCTGGATTGGTGCCAAAATTATGTGATCACATGCTTGGCCTCTTGCTTCCCCTTCGATTGAGAGAACCATCCAAAAAAGACGCAATCGTGAGTCCAAAAAGCAGTGGACATAAAGTCTCCGAAGGTCTCTGCCTTTGCTTTCCTCAAAGTCTCCCCAGCGCCGAAGGGCGAGACTTTGTGGGGCACAACTGAAAACCAGCTTGGCTTGACAGATCTCCGAAGGATAACCTCTCGTTGGCCAAGCTGGTCTGGAAAACGGTAGCAGTAGCTTGGAACCTCCGACATGATTCGAAATTACGGTTGTCAAACCAAGCCGCCGCGTTTGTTTCTTTTTCCCCAAAACGAAAGTCCAGAAACCTCGGACGTGTACCCACAAAATTGGTCAGTATCCATTTCTCTGCCGCAATTTGCACGACACCCAGAACGGACCTCTCCATTTCGCTCCTTTTTACCCTCAAAAAGCGGACACGATTTCTATCGGGGCCGTACGGTGAATCCCCAAAGTATTGCAAGTAAACAACCCTAAGCCAGGAGCCAGTGTGTGAAAAATCCAAACCTGGTCTACCCAGAGTGCGAAGAATTCGGGCGGATATCCGTGCCCCTTACCCTTTACCCAGGCTTTCGTAGCGGCTCTGAGTCAAACATCCTGAAAGGACACTGGTGCGCTAGGTTGACCCGAACAGGCTGACCGCAATCGGGCCAAATCAATCCTTTCACACCTCGAAATCCAGAGTTGTTCCCATCCGCCCTGGGCATGCGTTTGCCCGGAACATACCACTGGCTTCTGCGTTTTAACAGCTTTTTGCGGGTCTATTGGGAGTCCAGGTGGCTTGCTTGGTTTTTGGGGTTGATCTGGCCTTGGCCGCTCAACTGGCGACAAGCTCTCAGCAAATCGCTTCTTGGTGCAAGTTCTTGGAAACAAACAGTTTCCCAAGCAGGTCAAGCCAAAGCGCCAGGCTGACTTCCACCCAACTTCCTGACTAACCTGGACACCTGGATCCCTTTCTTCTGCCCTTTTTGGGGCCCACAAACAACGGTGAGGCAACACCCAGCCATTTTGGGGGGTGCCACAGACCCCAATGGATCTCTCGAAAATCGAAAGCACTGGTCAGCTCCGCTTGCCACCGGAGGAGGGGTGGCGGGCGGAGGCGGCGGCCTCGGGGTGAGAAAGTGGATGGCCAATATCGGTTTGTCTTGTTGGCAGAGTAGAAATTAGCATAACGAATGACCAATGTTTCAGTCTGCAGGGTGAAACCGGGGTGTGGGACCCAAAGGAGATTCCGATCCGAAGACGAAGGCTTGATGGGTTCCTTCTGTTGAATTCCAAGACTTGCCAGTATGTGCAGCAGACTTCCCAAAAAGGGGATGACAAAACAAACAGGGGAAGAAGGAGGGATTCCCCGCCGGTTTCAGTTGGCTTCTACCAGAATCTACCGGTTCCATGGATTTTTCCCGAAAGCACACCTAGCCAGATCCGAGACATGGTACCTCACTGGCCTGAACCCAGACCCCCAATGGATTTCCATAGAGAAAAAACATGTTTTTGTTTTTTTTGGGTTTGTTTTTCCTTTTTGTTTCCGAAGTTAAAGTTGTCCAAGGCTAAAACAAAAGATCATCACAAGAAGAAGGGCAAGGGTGATGGAAAGAGCAACAGTCCAAGAGTGAGGGGGTGCATCAAGGGGAAGGACTATCCTTCTTCCCATAACCCGAACACGAAGCAATTAGACAAAATAGCGCCCACTGAAAAGTGGGAACCAGGGCACCAGTGGAGGTCCGGGTGGAGTGTTGCCGGACAATTTGCCCAGGTTGTGTCCCAGAACTGGGAGCACCCCTTCGTATGGTGGGGTTCCCTTGCAAAACCATCAATGGATTTCCTTCATCCCCAAAAAAGTTCTATTGGGTCAGCCCCAGGGGTACACCAAAAACAAAATATGATAAGGCTATTGTTTCACATTCCCATCCCAAAACATACGATCATTTCGGAGACAGGTAAGGATCTAAGGTCCCGGCTGCATCTGGCCTCGAAGCCAAGTTGACTTCAGACAAGCCTATGGTGATGGCTGTCCTTTTGCTTTCTCCTTGAAACCAACCAACAGGGGACACCCCCCGAAAGCCTAAGCACCGCTGCATTTAACGCTTTCCCATCATGGAAGTGGACGTCCATACGAACATCATCCAAAGCCATTCTGTTACTAGGGTCATAGTGTTGACTTTCTGAGGCCTGTCAAAGTCAGCAATTTCCCTTTGCCCTACCAGTCAGTGTCAGTGTTAGCTGTCATAAAGAAAGAAAGCTACCGCACCAACTCTCTCAGTTGCCCAAAGCATCCATAAGTAAAAGCTTAACCGTTTGGTGACCAAAATGGATCAAATCAGGGAAGCAAAAGGTCAAAAGGTCGGCTTTGGACCAGCGAGTGCCACACAAATGGAATTTGGAGGGCTTCACGAGCTCGAGCTCTCTCTCTTCCCATGATTGTCGGGGTCTCCCAAGGAGGCCCGCCCCCTCCAAAAAAAAAACGCCCAAAGGGACCATCTCTGATTTACTTGCTCTTGGGATTTGGGAGACCTTTTGTTGGGGCGACCCTTGACAATAGGAATTAGGAATTCCAAACTCCGCCTAGCAAAATCTCGCCGAGTGTGCATGACTCGTTGTCATATGTTGACCTCCGAAATCTAACCCCCTCCTTGTCAGCAAGCTCAACCTCTGATCATTTAACAACACGGGGCTTGTCACTTGCAGAGGTTGCTACATGATACAGCATTCTAGTATGTACATCTGGCTCTATGCGTAAATATAATATATATATATATATGTATATATATATACATATATGTATACACAAAGTCATGTACAGGGAGAAAGTGTCCTTGTTTAGATTGTGTTCAAGGGAAACCAGAAGGGAACCAAATACCTATTTTGCATGCCGAAGTTTGAGACACCATGTTGATTCGAATGGCTTGCTTCATCGTTCATCGGAACCCTTAAATACATTGGTTCTCAAATGTCCTACTGAGCATCCCGACCCACCCCAAGTAAGGGCCATATCCTTGCAAGCCTTCAGGGCCTTAAGGGGTCTCCCTCCAAAACAACATTCACTCATATGTATGTGTACTCACCATATACATATATACATATATATATATATATATATGTATGTACGTATAAATTACGTGTGTGCACAACTCCAAACGAGGGGCTCCCCTGAAACGGAAGGGCTCTTTCTGGCTCGTTAACCACCCCAAAAAAAGGTAGCCTCACAAGAGCGCACAAGAGACGCCCACCGGGCTGTTCGCAATGGAGGATTGGCCAATGTCAATGCTAATCCATTGCACAAGCGGTCCCCTTCAGTTGTCTTGTTGGAGGGTACCGTTTGGAGAGTACTGTTTCGCCTTGGTTTAAAGGGAAACCAAAGGGAAACCGCCAATTTTAGGGGGGTCCCATATTTTGAGACAGCCCTAAAGATACAACTTGAATAGCCTTAATTATTAACCAGCCCTACAAACCCCAAATTATAAAACTGTTTTGACCTTGGCGTACAAACGATTCGGGCTCAACCTTGCCCCCTGTCCCAGGTTGCGTGACCCGAACACGTGCCACTTCGGCGCCTGGAGTCGCGGGTGGCAGCGGCGGCGGTGGGGACGGCACCGGGGGTGGCAAGGGCGGGGGCGGCGGTGGCGGGGGTGGCGGGGGTGGCGCCGGCACGGGCGCCGGGGGGTCTGGCAGCCACGCCTGGCGCAAGAAAGCGGCGGTGGGACGGAATGCCTGAAGCAGATGGATGGCTCTGGCTCCAAGATCAATGTGTATTGGGACCTCCTTTGACCTGCTTTGAGGGTTTCGGAAGGAAACATTGGTTCCGTTCCTTTTAGCCTATCATCACAGCGCGAGAAAACCGGATTGAAATTGGAAACAAACCCAAGAGGTTCCGCAAGCAAACGGCCCTAAAACAGTGGATGTCTGGTGTGAGAAATCGGATAAACGCCTGGGTGTTTCTTTTCTAACAGGAGGATCCCAGACGAAAGGGAAGAGCACACAAGTGAGACACAATTTGATCAAGCGCTTGATTTGCGGAAATCCAGCGACCCCTGCAAAGGTACCCCTCGCGCCACAACATCGACTTCTGGTTCTGCCAAAATTGCTATAAAGGTTTGTCCCTTCCTATGACCGCCGCGCAACTAGGTAGAACCACGTATTAGAACGGCTATCCTCCGCCTAAAAAAGAGAAGACAAACCCGAATGCACATCACTTTGCGCAAACCCAAGAAAATAAATAAAGATAACTTTTCGGTATAAGCCAATGGGGCTCGCATTCAAGCCTACTGCGCAAACTATGTTTTTCAGCTTGTATAAACTGTACTTTGCGAGCTCCACTTGTTGCTACAAAGCTACGTTTTTCAATCTGGAGCTGGACACCTGCGCTTCGCGCGCTAGACTTCTACTACAAAGTTGTGATTTTCCAGCCGGAGCTGGTACTTCGCGCACTAGACTTGCGCTACAC